ATCCTCATCTGGTAGGCGTATTTATCCTACAAGCCTTGTGGATTTATCGCGCCGTTTGCCTCTAAACAGGACATGTAAGCCTGGTCTAGCTAGAGGCAAAAGTTTTGAACACATCATGGTGTTTCGCTCTTCTGAGGGTTGCCATCCAGATGTGATGAAGAGATCAGCAACTTTATTTAGGTCGAGTTCTCGTACCCAAAACTGAATGGCAACGGAGAGGGAGGGTTACCAGATGAATGGATCCACCTTCCGTCTCTTGCCCTTCCTGATGGTGCTCACAACACTACTGATGGTAACAATTTCATAATTCTGTAATACTGGAGACCTTGCTCTAGGCTCTAGTGTGTGGTAAGGCATAACAAGAAAAAGTTTCATAACAGAGATAGTGCATACCAGAATTAGTTTTGCTGTTTTCAGATGTAATATTTTTCGTACTACCATCAAGAGAGAATCCGAAAGAAGCTGTATTCGGGATTTCTTGCTATCGTCAAATTGCTGCCAGTGTAAGGTTTTATGTAAATATGAAAATTGAATGCAGAAAAAGTTTTCAGCTCCTGAGCAAATGGTTTAGAGTGTTACCACCTATCATCCCGGGAAAGTAGAGTGGAGGCTTGGGTGGTGCACCTGAGCGAGAGCCGGGATTTGATCACTGGGCGGAACGTCGCGCGTGTGCGGTGCCACTTACCACTTACACCTAACCCTTCCTCCCTCGAAGTGCAGCACACAAGCAATACACTTTATTCACCAAAGATGGTAAAGAAGTCCTCAGCGGCAATATAGGTCTTGAGTCTGTTCCCGAGTGGCGTTAATGTGGGCTCTAACTGGAGAGGTTGACTAAGAGTTTCATTTTTTTTTCATGGAAACATTGAGAGTGTCCAAAGGAATATTGTTTTGAGCAAACTTTCTTCCTCAAAAATAGGCTGAACAGATCATTCACTGTTCGATGAGCAAATGGCTATCGATTCTATCATATCTCAGAGTCATGAATTTACAGAGCCGTAAATTACCTTGATCTTCTTGCAGGATCTGGTAGCAAAATCAGATGATGTGACGAGGAGTACTGTGCAAAAGAGCGTATGCGTACTTTCTCGAGCTCCGCTTTTCGGAGCTTTGAAGGCAAAACTGGAGCTCATAACTCGTGCGTATTTCGCTGAACGAGATTTTAGGAAGGTAGGACTTTCTGGCATTGTTAGAAGAGGAAGCGATGTTCTGCTTAACGTCTGTCATACCAGGTGGAAGTCCTCTCACAGATGTACTCGAATTTATGCGACATGTTCAACGATGAGAACATTGATGGTTCCAAGCTACTTGTATAAGGTGGAAAACGCGCGATTAAGGAAATTAAGCATCGCATTTAATAATAGGGATGGCACCATGAATTTCAGATATCTCAGTGCAGGACCTTTTCGTCAGGTTTCGTCATCGAACACTCATTTTGTTCAAGTTGTTACTACTCGAAAGAAAGGTTAGTTGGACGTTATATATCTTGCCGCCACAGTGCAGAGCGGAATAACAATGAGTCCTGATGAACTCACTTTGGCTCTCCAGAATCATTCCGTAATAATAACGCATTAATACACTAGAGAATCATGAAAGCGTTAGGGATACGTAGCCGTTATAACTACCTTGTCCTTCAGCAGCCTTCTTCTTTGTAAGGGAAGCACTTCGAAAGACTTCGAGAATGATCTAGCTGTATCTCTTGGCTCGGAACCAAATAGTATATGTAACGTACGCCCAAATGCACCCTCGGGTGGTGGCGGCATGTAATGGTTCATTGCAGCCATTCATGTGTTGATGTATTCTTTAACTCAGAAGGGTTCGGAAATGTTATGAAACTCCTCCACGGCTCTGGGACGGTCTTGTCTGACCTCCGCGAGCGCTCAAGTCTCCGCCGTGGGCTCCGACTACTCCTATTCGCTTGATTCCTCACACCTATCTCCCAATGGGAGGACATTTAGCTTGCTCTGCCATCACTTCATGGCGGCGCCCGCGCCCCTTTCAGCGCTATTGTGGTAACTTTCGGAGCGCGCGCTGCGTCAAACAGCAGTTATCGTAATAGGAAACTTCAAAACTTGTAAAGCCTTCGGCCTCGCGGTCCATTGCCGATTTCGGCTGACCGGCTCACCACCACGTTAGACGTGTGGATGCTGGAAGTTAATTGCACAAAAAACCACTGAGCTGCTGGTAAGAGGGTAAGCGTGACCGCGGCAAGCGTAATGGATAACGCACCGGTCCGGTAAGCGAGAGATGCGTTTACGCGTCCCGTGCGTGCGTGGTCTGACTTTTGCCCATAACCCAGCACTGTTGCGATACCGTATGCTTTCCTTTTAGTGCATTGCCCTTTTTCCAGGTCCACGATTCCCTGATTTTCTAGTGTCACACTATCATATAGTTTGAGTCTAAAACTCACAACAAAATTATCTTATGCCTTTTCGGTAGTAACTCTCAAAATCATCGAATTATTGGTGTTTTGCTGTGGTTATGCTTGTTTTGTTGCATGTTCTTCGTTGCCATCTGAATCATGCCCACTCTGTGGGCTTACAGTACATTAGTGGGTTAGGTGCGTTTCTTCAAGCATATCTCCTGCTCATCTGCTTGGAACTACTATGCTCGCACTTGTATCTCTTTATCCAAGTACGGTTTCTATTTCTGACGCATTGACTTCTACTCTTCTGTCTATAACCAACCGCCATGGCTTCTTCTGTATAAACCGTGTGTTATTACAGAAATGCTTGAAGAGGGACTTCGCTACTGTTCATCGCTCTGCACTAAGCCTGAAACAAACGATTCTACTACGAGAGGAAAAGATGATGATGTTGATGATGAAAATGAAGGTAAACCTTACTGTGCTGGCCGGGCCTACTTGTTGTAAAATAGTGAGTAATTAATATCATGTTCAAAACCACTGTTCCAGATCTTGGCGAAGAAATTGTAATTCCATCTTCTAAGGCAGTTCTTGACGAAGACCCGTTGACTAAAAAAGACAGTTTTGGTTTTCCATTGAGTATCTTTACAAAATGTGAGTTTTTTTTGCATCATGATAATGTTGGGTTGTCCTACGTTATTTATGAGCCAATAATTCTTATGCAAACTCGATGTTCTCAGGGAAACTTGTTCCATCCTTACCTGTCCATCTCTTACTTGGATATGATTCGGTCCAAATCTGTGCGTGGTTTTGCTATCGGCGCTACAAATGCTCTTTTCGTTACCAAAAGGGATCTGATTGATGCTATAGTCACGGTAAGCTTGCCTCACGTATATGTGCAGCATTTCCTGGGAAGCCTGCTCCCGAGTTACAAGACATCTGCTGTCCGCTGCTGTTCTCTCGTCTGTGGGTGCCAGTAGGGTGTTTTCTTATCGTCACCGTCCTGTTCGATGGCACGTTGAGAAGGCAGGAGAATACAGGAAGAAGAATGAGAGAAGAAAAGGAAGGAAAACGAGGTGGAAAAAGGGACCGAACATGAGGGGGAGGCTCCGCGGTAGCTTATCCTATTTCGGATGACCGGGCATGGCACGCTGCTGGACCCACCAGTTAGTGCTCACGAAAGAATAACGTCTACGCAAGGGGAATATAACCAATGTAGTCGTGACATGTCTCGTTTTCTGTTTTTTTTTCCAAAGAACATGTTTTGTTGTTCCTGTTTTTAATACAACCGCTAATGGAAACCATCCTCGTCATCTAGACCCTGAAAGTAGCACCTTAGCCACTAGATACTTCCCTGCTTTTTAGATTGATGAGCAAATATAGGAACAAATCGCATTTGTGGACGCAAAATTTGAAAGCGCGAAAGTCCGCTTTGACATAATCTTGCTTGCCTGAGCACGCCCTCAGCGTTATTAGAATTGTCTCGAAATAGCGGTAATAGCAGCTACCCTGCTCAACATCGTCTCGGCAGCAGGAGCACTCAAACGCCTTTCCTTCCCATATGAAGGACAGTGTACATATTTCCCGGATTGAGCGATCCATTCTCGCGACAGGGCCGAACACACTCATCTCTAGTCGTGGGATAGCTGGAATTGATAGGGATAAGTCTCTTGTTGATATTATTGGAATATCAGCTTCAGCAGTCCAATCATCAGCAGGGGGCAGCATCCATAATTTGAGGACCGCGGGAATCGTTACAGTTGCACGATGAACTCGGCGCATGGACGCGTGACACGCAAAACTGGCCAGTATTGGCCGTTTCGGTTACGTGAAGGCTTTTCCTAGTTTAGTACTACCATCTGTGATAATAAACCAAATCAATTTGAACAAAAGCAACTTGAGTCGATGGCCGACGCAGTAAGCACCTGCGCAATACCAGCCATTATTGTACTCAGCAAAGCAAGTTTAGACGACGAAAGAATCGGTATTGATCACCTGTGATGTAATGCGCGACCAATTCAAGCCCATAAAATTTCAATGAATTCAGTGAATTTTAATGCAGGTCTGATGTAAGCAACGAAAGAAAGGAGAAATACGATAATCGAGTTTTCTTTTCACCATTCCAAACGAAGCCGTAACAAGCAGGTGTCCTTATCTCAGAAGAAAAAGGTGCGTTCTTAAGAGTTTGCCTGCTAGATTACTGCCTTTCCGCCCGCTGCGAAATCTGAACCTGGGAAGGAAACGAAAAAGAACCTTGGGAAAACCCTGGACAGAGATCCCACGGCAGTGGGGCCGGCGCCTTGGAGGAACAAACAAACATCATGGGGACAAACCCAATCAGCAGGATTCTATTACGTGCAACCTATCCCCGGTAAAACCACATGAAGTCGCCCTACGACGCTCCAGGCACACGCAATTCCTCTCGTAAGCCGTTGTCTTGCAGAGTGAAAGTAATTCTGGTTGCAACGGTTGAAAATCACGCGTTTCAAGTCTCTTTAACTCGCCGTTTCGTATGATGAAAGTGGTACATTCTCTGCAAACGAAGACCAAGATGCCAAAAGCACGGAGGCATTTCGCGGACTACTTGATCGCGGCAACCTCTTCAACGGCGAGCCCCACCTCTGGGAGTTTCAATCTTACAACGACGGAAACTTGAACGAGGTGCAACTGCTTCGCACCTCAAGACTGCAGTGCTTAGAGACTTTCATATGCCATTCGTAAGGTAACAAATTTGCTGAAGCCTCGGCACGCACCTGACATCCTTTCTTATGGTGAAATCCAACGACGACAACATGCAAAATCTGTTGCATTCACCGCCTAAAACGCTGACATAGAATTTTTCTCGCCACTGCTAGCTGATGGATGTAAGTACTGCTCGCCAAGAAGCGACTTCATTGTTCCAGCTTACAAACGAGCCGTAACTTTATCAAGAGCACAATCAGTTGGCGTTATATATAAACAAACCAGCACATTGCAAAAAGAAGTTCGACTCATCACACCAATTGAAGGTATACAATATACATCAAGAGATACAAAATAATCAACAATCAATCAGAAGCAGAATATTTAACAAGAAAGTTAAAGTGTTTGTTCAGAGATCTAATTCAGTTGAAGGGAACGAGAAAGATGGAACGGGAAACATATGGAAAGCAAACATCAAAAGCAAGAACTTTTGTTTGTCACGAATATTAATGATTTGGTAATGCAATTTGTCAGACGAAAGCACAGCAGGGTTAGCCAACCCTATTTTATGCGGACAAACCCCACAATGTCACAAAACCTATCAGAATAATAAAGAGAATAAGTTTCGCACGACTACCTTGAAAGAAGTGATTAAGCATGTCGTGCAATCAAGCTGTAAGCATCAAGAACACCGCAGATTCAGATTGTACCTGGTTTTCATCGGAAAGCAAAATTACTCCCTAAGAGTTCACTAAAAGCTCATTCTCAGAGCATCGCACCTATGCAGAGTGACAAGTAATGAAAAAAGTTAAAAACACTGCTATGTTGAAAGCGCTGTCGTCAAATTTGTAGATGAGAAAGATGACGTTAAAAAAACTGGATGTTGTGCACACGTAAAGCTACGAATTTACAAGCCAAGGATTTCTGGCCACTGTTTCCGGCGTGCGATCGCCATAATCGTACAGAAGCTCCTCAGCCTCGTCAATGTCACGTTTCGCTACAAGAATAAGGTGGAGACCATCTTCGAATTCCACCACCTGAATTTACAAGCATCAACAGCCATCGATGACCAGGAACGACCTGACCTAGACCTGTCCAGGTCAGTTGTAAAAAATGGAAAATACAGTTTAAATGGAGCGAGAATGTAAATGGAAATCCAGCATTAGGAAACCGCTTGGGGAAACGAAAAGCTGGGGGAGCATGTAATCCACCTCATCGTTCCAAATTTCAAAGTGGCTCGACGGGAACTCCTGCTTAAAGGATAAAAAGGATAAAGTCTTCGCCGTTGATCAATCCCTTTGTGGGATGCGGCACGCATTCTACTTCCATTCAGAATCGTAGTGGCTTATTGAATGCGATGTGGCCTATACAGGGGGGGGGGCAAAAAAAAGTCATTTTGCCTCCATGACTTTCAAGGCGCTATAAGTTACACTTTATTAAATTTTTATTTACTACCATATTAAAGAGCACATTAAATACTATAATGATACTCCGCCACAGCCTTCTGGAGGAGCGCCATCGAGAGATTCGGCCGCGCGAAAGTGAGTGGGTACCGGAGTTGAGCGAGATCGTTGATTTCTCCGCCACTGTAGACCACCCTCTTGAACTCCGCCCGACTAGGTAATTGAGTGGGTTCAGA